GACAGGAAGAGACACTGGAAGCCACTGCTTGTTTCTAAGAATGAATCAATGGATTTTGTTGAGAATGTATTCATTATTCTTGGTAGAAGCCAAAACCATATATTGAATTACAATAGTAAATTAAAATTTGGGTCTTTACCACTCTTTTTTCCTCTTTTGTATTACAAACCTACCTACTGGAATGCACCAAGATTCTTTCCATAAACCTATCTAGACAATACATCATTTATTAATAAGGATGGAAATGTCATGTCACAACTTTGGTTAATTATATTCTTGACTGTCTAGATCAGAAATAATAGCCTATATACTACATCAGTATTCCTCAATGTGCTAAATAAATACCTCGTAACTGACAGATAATAGCTGTCCATGGTTGAATATGCCAAGAGCAAATAATAAAGCACATACTTTGTGTGAAACAAATAAAAAATATCAACTTAATTTGTAACTCATTTGCTTTTATTCTTTTCACCTCTTCAAAAGTTATATTTAATTAAAAAGCCTTTTATGCTGTCCCCATTCTCTTCCCTTTCTACTACACTTTGGATGGACATTAATTGTGAGTGAATGGTCATCAAGTTACTAAGCCAAGAGAGGAAGGGGTAGAAAATCCAGACAAATATTTGCAAAAACATCTTAGCATGTGTGCACTTTTGTGTGACTGAATTCTAAAATTAAGGGGAAAACAACTGTCCATTATTGTGGACTGACAACACATGTACCTTGGGGCTGAAAAATAAAAGCTGGTCTTACCAGTACTCCATTTTTTCAAAAAAAAAAAAAAAAAAAAATCACACTATGAAACTGACATCAACAAGAATCCCCAAAAACTATTAACAAACACTGTTATTTATAATTACAGATTACAGTAAATCACAGTCAAAAAGCTAGGTCTGTTCCACCAAAGACGTGCATGTTCTCGCTACACCGGACATCATCCTGCAGCACAACACGCAAGTCTGAGGCACTCTAGGCTTAGAAACGTACATAACAAGTTAAGGCTGCTCTGATTACTAGGTTGACTTCAGCACAATGTAATTCAGATCCCTAAGGGTCCTATATCAAAGCTGGATAATGTCTAGAAAAGCTCTCTCTGTTGCTAATGGACACCCTTTCATTCAATGTGTTTTAACTTGGTAAAGGGATTTTAGGCTTCCCCAAACACAGATGGCAATGAAAGAATTTTTTGCTTTGCCGTACACCACCAAAAAAATAAAACAATACAAAAATTAATGGGAGAAGCCACAACCATGTAGAAAGGTACAAATTTCAAAATGTTTTTCCTTCTACTAAGTGTTGGAAAGGACAGCTGTCCCATAAGTAGCAGAGGAAGATTATCTCTTAAAAAAAAAAAAAAAAAAGGATTCCTACTCAGGTTTAGAACTGTTAGCAAGTGAATTTTCTTTCTGGATATAATTCTTTGAATTCACTCTTCATTTAGATACACTAAATGTGTATCAAAGTTTTTCCTCCTGATGTCTTTACATATAAATATATTCAACCATTGGAATTTCTGATCTCTCTTTGAGAGTATGTTATTACACTTAAACACAAGAAAGGAAGACTTACCGAGAATGACTTAAGTATAAAGCTTGACGATGAATGTCTTCTGGGTCTATTTCTACAGGATTTATTACAGCTAGTTGATCAATAGACCATCTAAATTTCCCTGGAGTCTTAACAAAAGAAAGTGAACCTATGAGTAAAAGCAAACTAAAATAGTTCAGCAAAATGCTAACAATTGTCAGCTTCAAAAATAATGTGAATCATTATAATACAAAAGTATTTTAAAGATGGTATTTTAAAATTTGTTTTTACCACCAAATTAAATAGCAAATGGTAATCGAATCACATAAAATCGAGTGGACTATCTTCCATTTGGGTGATTTTTAAAAGTACATAATAATGGAAAACAGCCACAGAAGAGTAATGAAGATATAGAAATTTCACAATTAATACTTGTCAGTGATGCAACATACCCAAGTAAAAATCTCTTAATTATCATAATTCTTTACTTTCATTTAAGAATGAAGTGAAATTAAATGAAGTCCTAACTACAGAAGTGCCTACAAAAGTTCATAAAATAGTTGATCCTTAAAATAATTATAAATGGTAATCACTGCTGCTTTTCTGTATTCAACTATCCAACTGAACCAAAAATTTATCCAAATCCTAATCTGTAATTCGGAATGCATTTTTGACAAAATCTGGCCCGAAAAGCCAACATGCCACACACATTCCGGCTTTGAGGATTAAGTTGCAGCCAATCCATTATTTATTCTGTATTAACATATAACTAAAATTTAATACAGTTCAATAAAAAATCATGAGGTCAGATTCATGACTCATACTACATAACTTAAAGCTTTCCTCCACTTGCTCTTTGTTTAAACTGGTATGAAAGCGTAGCATAAAGAGCCACGCACTTGGCAGTTTTATCTAGGTAATTTACTAGGTTAAAGATCATACTTCAAAAGAACTCCAGTGTAGCAAATAACAGTAGAAATAAGTTAGAGTGGGGCGCCTGGGTGGCTTAGTCGGTTAAGCGTCCTACTTTCGCTTAGGTCATGATCTCGCGGTTTGTGGGTTCGAGCCCCGCGTCGGGCTCTGTGCTGACTGCCAGCTCAGATCCTGGAGCCTGTTTCAGTCTGTGACACCCTCTCTCTCTGACCCTCCCCAGCTCACGCTGTCTCTCTCTCTCTCTCTCTCTCTCTCTCCTAGAAATAAATAAAAATTAAAAAAAAATAAAAAAAAAAAAAGAAATAAGTTAGAGTGATGAAGTCTTCCCTAATCTCCAAAAGAGCACTTTCCCTTCCATATCACCCTTGTGTTTAACCACTAATCATGGCACGTATATTGTTTTGATGCCCCTAGCTTAGTTATGTCTATTCCTTTAAGAGTAGAGGTTGGCTTCTACAATCCACAAGCTAAAAATGGTTGGAAAAACTAAAAGATTATCATTTCATGACGTGAAAATCACATGAAATTCAAATGTCCATAAAGAAAGCTTTATTGAAACACAGCAAGATCTCATTGTTTACATATTGCCCATGGTTGCTTCTGTGATATAAGGCAGAGGTGACTAGTCATAACAGCAACAAGATGACCTGCAAAGCTGAAAATATTTACTGTCTGGTCCTTGACAGAAAAAGTTTGGTGACCTCTGCATTAGAATACCCGCTTCTTGAGAGTTTGTGTCTGATGACCCTGACTTGTTCTCTTTGTCTAGCACTTTATCGAATACACTGCAGCATTCAAATAGGTTTGCTGAATAAATGAGAATAATTAGAGGACATGGCTTCTCTTGGGATATGGCATTAGTTAATATCTCATCAGTCATACTATCTAGCTATACCCCGTTGCAGGAACCCAACATATTATCTACTGAGTAAAAAAAAAAAAAGAAAAGGAGAAATGCTAACCAAAAAAAAAAAAAACCCAACAAAAAAGCCACATAGCTAACTTATTTTTAGCCCAGGCACTGTACTATAGTGAACATTACAATCCAAAAAGCACATTCCAGATATATGTGCTCCATGATAAACTTCTCCCTTAACTTGTTAAGAAAGAGGCTTTACATTTAAAATAATTTGTAAATACTAGTTTGTAAATACTAATCAAGAATAACTTACTGGTAATTTCGTTGATTTAAAAACAGAAGGACTGGAGAGAGTTTGTTCATGGAGATTAGAATAATCACCAGGACTTTCGAAAGGATTCAAAACTGGGATCCTTCCTGGAGTTTCCGGTGTTATTTGCATTTTTGATTCCTTGACATCTCCCATAGCACAGAGACAAAACTAAAAAGAAATAAGTATGGAGAATAAAACTACAAAGTTCCACATTCACTGGGACAACTAAAATGTATTCAACAAACATATTTTGCAAAAAGAACTCAAAATCTAACGCTTTTTTTTTAAAAAAGTATACATTAGAAAGAGGTATCACATACGTTTTCTAAAGTGATCCTCAAAACAACCTTCAAAGCTAGAGAGGTATGGGACTAGTAATAAGATTTTGCAGAATTTAAGCTCAAAGCAGTTAAGTGGGATATAAATAGCAGTCAGCCGAATATGAACGTGTTCAGGTCATTCGAGGCAACTAAATCAGCAGACACAGAACTCTTTTCAACGAAAGGACTCAGCACTTCGAACACCCTTCGGATATCCCAGCAATTACCTATTAAACTGCAGTTACTAAACAACAGTTATTCACAACAAGCCAATACGAGACGAGGAAGTGCACGGGTGCCTTTCCTGCACATCAGTTCCAATCAAAGAAGTATGACTGATGAGGGCTAAGAAATTAACCGCCTTTGGTTGCCTCTCCTCAAACATCGTCCTTTAGCTAAGACTCCCAGCGTAGAAGGCGAGACTGCACTGCTTTCAGTCATCGGAGAATAGGACTGTGGAGCAAGAATCCACTTCTGGGAAGGCTGAAGCAGCTGGCTCCGTCGGGTGAGGAGCAGGAGTGGACACTCACGCCAGTGTCACCCCCAACCCTACGCGATCATACCTTGGAGCCCCCCCACCCACCCCGGCACCTATTCCCTCGCTGCTTCCATTCACCCCGGGGACAGTGGGCAGGTGGGTTCTGAGAAAGGAAAAGTGATCTCTCCAATTCCAGACAAGAGGAAAGGCCAGGGACTCCAGAGAACATACCTAGTGGTGTGGGTAAAAAGGAAGCCCCCCTAAGAGACGACTCCAGGGCGCTCCCGAGGGGCCAGGCCAGCTCCCACGACAAGCACAGACTCTTTAACTCCCCGCTTCCGCGCTGTCTTAGGCCAACCAGGGCACGGGCCTTGTGGGGAGCTAGCCAATCGGGTCGCACCGCTGTTCGCGAACCAACCAATCGCATCGAGGCCGCGTAGTAAATTCGAATGGCAACTCTCGCTTCACATTCCGCGCTGAGTAACGAGGCTCCAAATTTAAATCAACGCAGCCTCACGCTGGCGACGAGCGCGAGGGGCGGAGCCTGCCCGGCGTGAGCTGGGGACGCGCGGTGTGATTGCCCAGGAGAAAGGAAGGCGCTCCAGTTCCGGGTCAGGCCCTTTTCCCGCCTCCCTCGGCCTCCGCCATGGCGAGTAGCAGTGGTGCCGGGGCGGCGGCGGCGGCGAATCTGAATGCGGTGAGGGAGACCATGGACGGTGAGTACCCGTTTCGCCCCTTTTACCTTGTCTCCGTTTCCCGCAGCCAGGCCTTCCAGGCGGCGGTGAGCCCAGAAGGACTTTAGGTCCATTTCCTGCCCCAAACGGTATCTTCGAGGGTCCTCCCAAGGGACCCTCCAGGGCCGTAGGGCTGATGGCCGCATCCTTTTAGAGTTGTCTCTTCGCTCTTGCGTAGTTTGTCGCGCGTACGACGTTGGGGCCCCCACGTCAGCCCGGCACGCGCTCTGTCTTTCCCCCGCGGGACCCGCGCGCCACGCCCCTTCGCGACGCCGGGTCCCCGTGTCCATTCCTCCCCGGTTCGCCTCGGGAGCCGTTGTCCCCCCCCCACCCCTGCCCCACGTACCCCCTCCTGCGCCAGACCTGGTGCTGAGTGCCCCTTCCTTTTCGTCCCGAGCGAGGACTGTCTTCAGGACTGTAAGCCCCTTGCGGACAGCGGTCTTGTGTGTTTGGTCACCGCTCTGTTCGCTGTCTCTTAGCACTTCAGTAGGTGGTGGTTAAGTCAGCTCCTTCGTAATTGCTCTCGTTCGTCCTGGAGCAAGTGACGCCGGTGTCTGCGTCTCCGGGTGTGTTTCACCTGTTTTCGCGCCCGGAGGCAAGCGGGCGTAAAGCCTACGCACACGTGCTGGAAGTGTCTTCGAGTTACACGCTCTCTCTACTCTCTGCCGGCTCTGCCACTTTGTACTCCCGGGGGTGAGTTTAGACAAGCTACTTAAACATCATTGAGCCTGCTTCTTTCTTTCTTCTCTGTAAAAGGAGATCACTTCCCCCCGAGGTTATTGTGAATATTTATTAAGTAAGACAGCCGGGTAAAGGCGTATCGAAGGTGATCGATCCAAAGGTAGTTACTATTGGTTTTGTTATATTACGTGCACATCCCACTTGTAGCATCCTTGGCCTCCTTTTCATTTGCGTCCACCTGTGTGTGTTTGATGGCTGTTAAACGTTGCGGTTTTGGCATTTTCCAGCGGATACCGACATCAGTCTCCATCTTTATTGAGCCCCAACTGTGTGCAGTTCTAAGTAGTGGTCAGCCTTCCCGCTGTGTCTCGGGTCGGCTTCGCTGGAGGGCTCCACTTAGTCAGCCACTCCTTCTAGGGGTTCTGGCTTTTTCTGCACAGGTTGCTGCTGCCTTTTTAAAGAACTACTATTATTAAAATCTTTGCATCGAAGTTTTTACTTACCAAGTATCTATTTCGCTGTTTCTCTGAAAAACAGAATTTCGTTCTTAACATCATATTTAGCGTATTTCGCATTCTTTCTCCATGTACCACAGCATATTAGTTTTATTTTGTAATAGGAATTAAATACATAAGAAGTGGTATGTGTATAGCATTACAGGTTGCCCTGGCTATGGGAAAGCAGAGCCTTCCCATGAAACCTTTCTTAAGCTGAAATGGTGTAAAGTGAAGAACCAGTTAGTTTTAACTTACATGGAAAATTTTTTTGAGTGTTCTCCAACCCAAAAAGTAATCTTTCTTAGGCTTTTCTGATGCTTTAAGACACATGTTAACAGATGCACAAAAGAAATAAAGCGCATGTGCTCCCAGTAACAGTTCAGAGCTCTGGCCGCTTGATGGTGAGATGTTGAGTGGAATTCTTGGGGAAGGAGCTTAGCAGTGATGCTCCAAAGGCTGGGGTTCTATGCTGTCAGGACTTGGTGCAAACAGGCACCGAACACTATTTTCACTTTTTGCCTTGTGTGTGTGTGTGTTGTTTTTTTTAACTCAACTTTGATTTCTTTTGGTTAGCAAAAATAGCTACTAATGTAGGTCTTTCGTAAAAGCTAAGTGGAGATGAACTTTCAAAACGTGGGTGATGCTTGTTTTTGTTTTACATCTTTGCTTGGAAGCCAGTGGAATGGAGAGTAAGAGGCCCCACTTCCTTTCAGTTTTCTTATATTAGCTATGCTCAGGTCCTTATTTATATGGCCATAGAATCCCATTTGAATGGAAAAGTCACATTTTATTTCTGGTGGAATTGTCAAGTACAAATGAGAACTGATTGTATTGCGTCAAGATTTTTCCTGAGAGAAGTGTGTGTAAAATGAAGATTATTGAAAGTGTAAGCATGTGAAAAAGTGAAGAAATGACAGATTTTTTTCTTTGAAGTTTATTTACTTTTTTCTTTTATAGTTTATCATCACGTTGGTTTCCATATAACACCCAGTGCTAAAGTTTATATTTACTTTGAGAGAGAGAGAGAGCTGGGGAGTGGCAGAGAGAGGAAGACAGTGAATCCCAAGCAGGCTTCACACTGCCAGCACAGAGCCCTGTGCGGGGCTCAAACTCCTGAACCCTGAGATCATGACTTGAGCTGAAATCTAGAGTTGGACACTTAACCAACTGAGCCATGCGGGCGCCCCATAAAGTGTCTTTATTGAGAGAGAGCGCGTGTACACACGCAGGGGAGAGGGAGAGAATCTCAAGCAGGCTCAAGCCTGACACAGAGCTCAACCCACAAGCAATGAGATGATGATCTGAGCCAAAATCAAGAGTCAGACGCTCAACTGATTGAGCCACCCAGATGCCCCTGACAGATTTTTTTTAAATAAAAATTCAAAGAGAGGTTGTGTGACTTTGAGAATGCTGCTCATCTACCTACAGTTGGCCCACAAACCTCAAGATAGAAAGGCCCCAGGTTGGCAATGGTGATCCATTTGTTAAATGTGGCAGCTAGGGACTCTTGTGTCCATTAGAAGTCTAAAGTGACAGAAAATTTCTGCCATGATGCCATAATTAGAGCCTTAGACAGTTACATAAAATGTGAAGTTGATTTATTACAAAGTTAATAGAAAGTGATAATTTCCATGTTGTCTCTAATAATTGAGACACAAAAGTAAACACACTGACACACTATAAATAATTGATCACACACTGAAAAAAGTTTATATGTTGTCATTTTATAATCCCACCTTCCTTTACATTCATTCCCAGAAATAAAACTTTAGCTTGCCCAAGGGACTAGACTGAACTACCTAAATAACATTAATATATGAAACTCTGTTAATGTGGGGTTTCCCTGTATTTAAATCTATCCATGAGAGCCAAAAGTTTTTGAGTGTGACTTCCCTCCTTCAAGACGTAGTGTATTTCTCACCTTCTTACTACTTCCCTCCCGTCAGTACTAGAGTCAGTAATTTAATTATTTAATGGATCTGAATGTTGTTAGGATTGTAGAACTCAGCTATAAATAAACATTTTTATTTTTGTTGTGAAATAAAAGCATTTTGATAATGAAACTTCAGAAGCAAGTAGACTTCATAATTTATCTATGTGGCTCACTCTGAAAGGAACCTAATTCTGGTCCTAATTTAGTATATGGTCTTGTATCAGGCCCCTTCTCTCATTTTTAGTTTCTTAACATTCTCTCTCAGATTCCTTCTTCAAAATGTCAGCCTTTTGGGGATGCCTGGGTGGCTCAGGTGCCTTAAGTGTCCAACTCAGCTCAGGTCGTTATCTCACAGTTCATGAGTTTGAGCCCTGCATCAGGCTCTGTGCTCACAGCTTGGAGCCTGGACCCTGCTTCAGATTCTGTGTCTCCCCTCTCTCTCTGCCCTCCCCCACTCGTGCTCTGTCTCTCTTTCTCTTTCAAAAATAAACATTAAAATTAATTTTTTAATGTCAGCCTTTTCAACTACCCCCCCCCGTCCCCACCCTCCAGTGTACTGAGTACCTCCAGTGTGCTCAGTGACCTCTTTTGCTTTTCACCATTTTCAAATTTTATATACTCTTTATTGATAGTTTCATACTTTGGTTTTATTTTCCTATATTTGTCTTATGCCTCCAATTACTGCTAGTAATTATGTTTTTTAATTATTGTGTTAAAAATGAACCTCTTTCTCTTTCAGTGTAGTGCTGCTTTATTATATACTAGGTAGTCAACTAGAGAAAGGCGTTAAGAGAGTTCACCTTGTACAAGGCAGTGTCAGTGAAACAGATGGATAGTCCCTGCCATCAGTCTGCTGGTGGGAGAAATAAACTTAGCAATCATTTTTGCTTTCTTTCACCTTCCCTGCCTTCTTTTCTTCATTAAGCTCTTTTAGTTCTTCCCTCATCTCAGATTTAACCACTTGTCTCTGTCTTTCCTGTTTCCGCCATCCACCATTCTATCACCAATATTGCAGTAATTTAACTGGATATGCTTTCCAAGATCTATTCTACATTATGCAGCCAAAGTCTTTTAAAAATGGAAATCTCATTGTATAATCCCATCCTTCTATCTTTTAATAGCTTCCAAAAGTTCTAAAATCTTCTGTAGAGCCTTAGTGGGTGATCATGTCTGTCTTTTCTCATATTTTACACCTGTGCTCCCCCTGTAATTACATTGCCTTTACATGAAGAGCCTTTCAGATCTGTGTGTTTCCTTTGAATTTGCCAAGTTCTCTCTAGCACAGGAACTTTTGCACAAGCTCTTTTCTTCACTCACTCACTCTGCACTTTTTCCTGCCTCTGCAGAAAACAAGGATGTCCTTGTTTTGGAGGTGTGCTTTTCTTGTCCCTATTTCCCTTTTAACTAGGATCAGTTGTTACTTTAATATCTATCTCACCTGAACTGTAATTCCATGAGGACTGGGACCATATTTACCTTTCTCATAACTATATTTGCAGCAGTATCATAGAAGGCATAAAATATGTGTAAGTACCAGTTACACAGTAGGCACTATAGACGTACTTATTACAGACAGGTTATGAAGTTAGGAAGTAAAGATCAACATAAATTTTGTAAGAAAGCTTACAGGAAGGGAATACTAGTATTGAGATGGACAAGAAAGAGGCATGGATTTACATAGAAGAGAAAAAGCAGAGGAGAAAAGCATGAACAAAGGCATAAAGAGTGAGCAGAGCATTTATAGATAAGGGTGTACCATGAAGGGAAAACTGGAAAGGAGAATTTGTCGGGAACAGTGGATGATGGTGATGATAATGTTAGTTGGAGTAGGGTCAGAGTAAGTGTTCTGGTTTTCTGCTGCTGTGTAACAA